TCTCAAAACCTCATTTTCTCTCTGGGATTTTCCTGCTTGGAAAGCTCCTGATTCATTTTTCCTTCCACTGAGTCTCTGTTCCACAGGCATCTCTGGTACCTCATCCCTTGACGTCATTGTTCAAGAGAACCAGAAAGTGAGAGCCAGCAGGACCCCAGTGGGACCACAGTCTGATTCTACCCTCTGCTGAAGTACCCACACCCTACACTCTCTCGCAGGGACTTTACCTCACTCACCCAACCCCTTAGAACAGCATTAAAGTTTATCAAACCTAATTCTAACCCTTTGATATCTTGAAACTGAGACCCAAGTAAAAGTTGCAAGAAAATATTATTTTGCTTTCTGTTTGCTGATAAAGTGGATAAAATACTTGGTGTCCAACACACATTGGATCTGTTTGCCAGGTCAGCCTCTAATCTGGTACCAATCTGAGTGGGTAAAATCCCATAAACCGTGAACCTCATCACCACAAGAAACCAATCGTTCATTCAGTGGTTCCTGCAAGCCGGCTCATCTGGGGCGGAGAGGGGGGCGTTCGAGGAACCGACTGGGAGGCTGGCTCCAACTCCTTGAGTCCTACAGTTTGTGGGTTGATCACTTCGATTAGTTCAGTGGTGTTTGAGCCTTATGTTTCTCCCACAGGCCAGTGCTGGATGTCGCTATCCCTCAAGATAAGGAGATTAATCTGAAGCTGCAGAACGTGCTGATGCTTCTCAGGAAGTGCTGTAACCACCCATACCTCATTGAGTACCCGCTAGACTCCAGCACCCAGCAATTTAAGGCAAGGAGTTTATTCTACCTATTGCATTGTTTAGATATTGTCCTAGCAACTGTCTTGGTGCAAAATGTATTGTGATATTCCTGTAGGCCAGTCTGTCCCTCTGTGTAGCCTGCGAATTGCGAGCTTGTGCTATTCGATAATGCTCGTATAAACCGCAGAATTTTGTTTGTAGATCGATGAAAATTTGGTGAAAACTTCTGGGAAGTTTCTCATCTTGGATCGAATGCTGCCAGAGCTCAAAAAAAGAGGACACAAGGTAAGTGAAACCATTATTATGCACAGTTTGTGTTGCATTTTGTGTGTGTGTGTCTGTGTAGGGGTGGGGGAGGTCCCACTACTCCCAAAGCCCTTCCCCTCTCCCAACCTGTCAGCTCCAGCCCCACAGCAGCTCAGTGAATGTGAGGAGTCTGGTACGGACACCGTTCATGGTTCCTGGTTGTGTGGGAACTTTCAACATGAATCTCCAGGCTGTGCGCACACTGCATAGGCCTCTAGGTATCAGTTTCTCTCAGTGGTCTGGCCAATATCCATCCAGATAAAATTCAGATAAAACTGGTCATTCACCTTGTAGATGTACACAGCAAAATTCTACATACAGCTGCCAGTTTTCCTACAAAAACAAACAATTCACTTGCCAGTTATTGTGCAGCGCACGGAAACACGTTGACACTAAGGCAATATGAAAATCCATGTTCTCTTTTATCTCGTCATTTTGAAATACAATTTTTGCAATAATGAATTACTACTTTGCTCTTCTCAGACACACACAGACAAACCCACACACACACAGACACACACACATTGTACAAGTGTTCGCTATTCTCGCTAATGTGATCTTTTAACAGGTGCTGTTATTTTCACAAATGACCTTAATGCTGGACGTTCTGATGGACTTCTGTTACCTGAGGGACTACAAGTACAGCCGTCTGGATGGCTCCATGTCCTACTCTGACCGGGAGGAAAATGTAGGTCCTGCTTATGTCTTTAAATTTAATTCCTCCAGATTGAGCCACCTTTGCAGTGTAACCTGTAAGTTCTCTGTAACCTTTGCCTGTGCTTCTTTCCACAGATAAAACATTTCAACACAGATCCTGATGTATTCATCTTCCTGTTGAGCACTCGAGCTGGGGGACTGGGCATTAACCTGACTGCGGCAGACACCGTTATTATATATGATAGTGACTGGGTGAGTGTGTGAGGGCTACTCGTGGTGCTCCGACCTGCTCTGGCCTTTGAGACCCTAATGTTGCCTTCAGTGACTTCAAACTCGTTCCCTCCCTGCATACATACACACACACACTCAGACTGAGGAAACCCCCTGCACTGCTTGTCAAGAGAGCTTTCTGCTAACAGTAGCTATGAAAATGCCTTTATCCGTTAACATATCTTTACAACTAATTGTTTGCTCGGACCTCCCTTTCCTCTCCCCCCCCCCCCCCCCCCCTCCCCGTCGACTTTGTTTTATCTCTACAGTTTAGCTTGTTATCATTCACATTCCTGTTTGTAATCAAGAGTTTCAGCTTGAACAAAATCTATAAAGGGTGTGGGGGAATGAAGCTAAACGCAATCCTCTTTCACAGACTAGCACAGGCGCGATGGACTGAATAGTTTCTTTCTGTGCTGTAATATTCTATGGTTACAGTTTTATCATTTTTCCCCTTTCCCTGAGTGAGCCTTCGTCCTCCTATTCCCCCTGCTCCATTCTGGCATCCGCTGTATTGAACAGCCCCAATCCTGTGCATTGTGTTTTCTATGAATGATCTGTGTGGTGTGGCAATAGGCCAAGCCTGCAAACTGAGGAGAAAGAAATTGCACTTTATAGTGTGCGCCCGTCACATTGAATCATCTCCGAGTTTCAGAGCAAATATTTTCAGCCACTTTTGCAGCAAAAGTGGCAGCCATTTTGTGCACACCAAAGTGAGGGGTTGAGGCAGGAAGTTATGGAAGTTATGGGCATGGTGGCACAGCTGAGTCGAGGGAGTGGGGGCAAGCTTGTGCCAGCCTGAGTAAGGGGGTGGGGCAGAGGAGTGGGATACAAGCAGGTCTGAGAGGTAGGGAGGTGCTAGGATGTGAAGGGATTTGTATGTAAGGGCAAGGATCTTGAAATTAATCTCAGTTAAGTTTAATGCTGAGCTTTTCTCTGAATTGGCTTTTTGAAAGCCTAAAGAGTAGAATTAGCCTGAGATGCTGTCAATGCTGCTGTGTGGAATGGTGTTCTGTTCCGTTTGAAGCCGTGCTAAGATCTGGCTTTCCCCACTAGAATCCTCAGGCGGATATTCAGGCTCAAGATCGCTGTCATCGGATCGGCCAGACCAAGCCGGTGGTCATTTACCGGCTGGTCACCGCCAACACCATTGACGAGCAGATTGTGGAGAAAGCCACAGCCAAGCGACGGCTCGAGAAGCTCGTCATTCACAAAAGTAGGTTCTAACTATTGTGTGTGTGGGGGGCCACGGTGGGGGGAGTGTGGTGTGGGGGGAGGGGGGTGAGGCACCTTCCGTCTTATAACATGCTTACAAAATACACACACCTCATTTTACAGTATATCCTGGAAGCACTTTGAGGCATCCTCCTGACATGAAAGCCATTATATTAAATGTAATCATTTTTATGAGACAGGTAAAACTCGCGTAACATTTAATACGACTTAAGTGAAGTACGAGTTCTACATAAATTGGATTTTATGCAAGTAACGAATAACAAATACATCTTTACAATGTATATGTCCCGGTGCAGAAAGTGCGTTCATTGAATGACATGAACTCTTACGGAGGACTAGGAACGCTGCAACAGCATCATTTCAAGTCTTGAAATTTATTGCGTTGTAGTGTAGTGTTCCAAGCGTATGCAGTTCTTTTGTCAAGGCCGCTGGGAGATGTATCACCACAAGGTGATACTGCGATGTTAGGAGAGGATTTCCATTATTTGGAACCAAAAAATCGTTGCCATTTAGCCGCTTATCCTTGTAAAATCTGCGTGTTGCAAAGAAATCAACGTTTTTTTACAACAACAAGATTCCATTTATAAAGCGCCTTTCATGTCAGGAGGACGTCCCAAGGCGCTGCACAGTTGGGTCATGACCCGAGCAGGGGGGAAATGGTCAGGGTGAGGAAGGGAGGGAGCAAGGAGGGGGGAAATGGTCAGGGTGAGGGGAGGGAACGGAGGGAGCGAGGAGGGGGAAGAGAGTCGAGAGGGGAGCTGAAGGCACGGTCAAAGAGAATAGGAAAATGAATGGGACTTGGGACCATGTACGATATAGACACACGGTCTGGGAGTAATAGAGTAGTGACTATGTGTGCTATATGCACTGTGCTTTATAAATGCAAGTTGCTGTTGCATGTACAACTTAGGCAATTATAGGACTTATAACGCAACGACTTACGCAAATTCACTCACCTGTGATGCCTTCTGTGCGAACGAATTTAGTATCCAGTTTGTGCCCTGTGCTTTGTTTATATCAGGGTAAAACATGACTCCTTCACTTGCCCAATGTTATTTTCCTTTCTTTAGACAAGTTTAAAGGTGGCAGGTCAGGAATGACCCATTCCAAGAGCTGCCTGGATCCCACTGAACTAATGGAACTCCTGAAGTCCCGTGACCACGAGAGGTATTGAATTTGTTTTACTCTGGGTGTAGTGAAGTGGTGAGTGTATTTACCAGACATAAACGTGGTATGTTTCTGGGTCACTGTAGCATGTTGACCCCAGTGTCAGTTTGGCTGAGCAAAAGCATGTACATATGTGAGTTTGTGTGTGTGTGTGAATGCTTGGAACAGGTTTTGGTGTCTTGTAGTCCCTGGAGATGATTTATAGCAAAAGTAAAGATGTGATTGAAAGATGAACAGAGCTTTCAGCTTGACACGGGCGAGGGGAGAGAGGTCTCATTCGTTACATCTCCAACACCTCGTTTTGAGACTGAAATCCGCTTTACAGTTTTTTTGTGCAAGCCAAGAGAGAGCTGCAGCTCCTCACCCCTCTTACCTGTGCTTTCACTCAACAGAGAGGTAAAGGGAACCACTGAGAGGGTGATGAGCGACTCTGACCTGCAGTCCCTGCTGGATCGCACTGATATGATGGGTAAGTACTGGTGCTGGTCCACACAGTTGGGGGGGAGATGCAGAAGCCAGTCCGAGATGGGGGGCAAGGAGATTGGACAAGGTGGAGTGGGGGGGTGGGGAGTGGGAAGTTGAGGCTGGGCACAGCTGAAGTTGAGTAACGTCATCTGTTTTCTTCCAGACAAAATGAAAAGAAATGTGGAAGTGAAAACCCAGAGAGATAATATCTTCAGAGTGCTGCAGAGCGAGGCCGAGAATGTGGAAATTCGTCTGTCAGGGCTGTGAGAGCAGCTGTGGACAGCTTCCCTCACGCCACAGGCTCACACACGCACCCTGTACAGTCAGCAATTGTGGCTAGTCTCTCTGCCCGGTAGTCAGAGCTTTAGCAAAGTGCATTTTTAGTTTACTTTTAGCTGAGCTACAAGACTTGGCACAGATGGAGAGGCAGAGTCCTTGTGTGCGATATTCCTGCACGTTACTGTGGTGAGCTGTTCTGCTCCAGTGTTAAGTTAAACCATGACTCCCTCTCCTGTCTGGGATCGTAGTGTGCTCACAGAGACCATGGCTCTATACTGTAGCTTCTCTAATAGAACTGGTGATGGGTGAATAGAGTGAAATATTTATACTTTGTGCATAAGATCTGGAATTGTAATCCTTGCTGTTACATACCTGCTCTCCTCCTGACAGCAGTGTACTGTTCAGGCCTCAGATTGGGAGGGAATGTTATAGATGTGATTTTCCCTGGAATTGATCAGCTGCACCTTAGCAAGAGCGTGTGACAACTGCAATTGAGGAGTGAAGCCAGTTTGGAACTTTATAACTATCATCTCCTACCCCCCACCACCCCCACAACAATCTCTGCAGAGACTGTCCCAGTGCGTTAGCAATGTCCCTACCCCAATTTCTGCAGACACCGTGTTACCATTGTCCCTTCCCCAATCACTGCAGACACTGGTCCAGTACGACGCTCTCTGATTCTCATCTACTTTAAATCCAGTGTAGATATTTTATTCTGTTTACTATCCATCATATTGGAACAATTATCCAGTTTCTTATATGGCCCCATTTCCCTACCCCTTTCTCTCTTTCTCTGTTCATGACTAGCTTGCTGTCTCTTCTCTTTCTAGCTCCCTTCTTTCTCTCTGTCAAGTTCACACTTTTTTTCTTACTCTGGGTTTTATTTATACTCAGGGTCACTGATAGCCCTTAGAATTCCTTGTGACAGAGGGTTGTTTCTGTGAACTGAACACGCTGCTCTGGGAGCTGTAGTTGGCTGGAGCCTCGTTCGCTCAGGCAGTGATGTGGAGCGTTGCTCCCACTGTGTTCAGGACCATGTTGTTATTTGTTTTTGGTATGGGGCTGTCAGCGGATTTTAATTTTGGGGGAGTGTGCGTGGAACGCTCTAGTTTGCGGGACTCAGTTTAAATAATTAGCCAGCGAGCTGTTAAGTGAAGCTCGCTCTGTCCATGGCTGGGAATCCAGGACAGAACTGGGTGTTCGAGGTCAGACCCTGCCCAAGTGATTGTTTTCAACACTGTACCTGCCAGGCCCTGAGATCAGCTGCTCCTTAGCCTACGAGGGCTTGGGACGCTGATGTATAAAAACTGTACAAAATGTTTTAATTAAAAAAAAGTTAATTTTAACCTGGTCACTTTGTTTTCTTCCTCAAGTGGCCTGCGTATGGAGGATTTTGTTTGCTAACCATTTGCTTTTCACACGGAGGCTTGTGGAAATCTGGAACTTCCCCCCCCCCCCCCCGAAGATTAAAAATAAATGTCACTCATTCCATGCCTGTTTGTGGGACACTGCTGTGCGCAATGGCTGCCGCGTCTCGCCCACAAAATATACAGTCAATTCACTTTACAGTATATTCTGTGAAGCACTTTGTGATATCTCAGAGGTGTTAAGGTGCTGTATCAAATGCAAGGATTATTGTTATTAAAAGGCTGTGGATGTTGGCTCAAATGGAACTTTCAAGTCTGAGGTGGGGGATAGATGTTTGTTGGGTACGGGTATCAAGGAATATGGGGCAAGGGCTGGTAAATGGAATTGATATACAGATCAGCCGTGATCTAACAGAATGGTGAAACAGGTTCGAAGGTCTGGATGGCCTATTCCTGTTCCATTATGGCCCCATTGCTGTTTCTTCTACCATGTTTCATGGGCACTGGGAGAAGGGGGTTTGCACAGCTGTCAGCATCTCTTGAGCACCTTCCAAGGAGCTGTTCTTCATGTTAATTACGATGATGAGTTTCTCAGGGAGCAGCTCAGATGAGACCTAAACCCTAATTGCTACAGACACGATTGGCAGGAGGAACCGTGAATGCATTTTCCATCTTTGTACAAACAACTCCGTTTCTGGAATCCATTGCTGTCCCTATCTGGGAATGTGGACGGACCATGTAGATAAAGGGAGCTTTACTGTGTCTCTAACCCTGACCTGGGAGTGTGGACGGACAGTGCAGAGGGAGCTTTACTGTGTCTCTAACCCTGACCTGGGAGTGTGGACGGACAGTGCAGAGGGAGCTTTACTGTGTCTCTAACCCACGCTTACTGAGGTTAACTGCAAAGGATGGTGTGTCTGCAATATTGAGACAACTGCGTCCGATACTGACAAAACGGGTTGTATGATTAAGCTGCTCAGTGATGGCTTTACCACAGCCAGCAGGCGGCAGCGGAGGCCAGCATTCCACATTGAAAGGGGATTTTTTAATTGATGGAGTTCTTGGGTCCTCAGGCACAGCGCAACTCGCCCAGGAATTGTGGCATTCAGGATCCTGGGATATAAGCCATCAGGACCCAGTGACCTGTCAGTCTGATATTTGAGTAACTGTTGGTTAATTTTCTCTTTGAAACTTCTAACTGTTCTGTGCCTTATATTCTCCGAATGCTCCCTTAATCACTTGGCTCAGCCTCCCTCGTCACTCGCACTCCTCTGGGTCAGAAGCTGAGTTTAAGCCCTTGTGTTGTGAGCTCGTGTTCGAGGCTGATATTCCAGTGCACAGATATGATGGGGAGAGAGCAGGGAATGGGATTAGAGTAGACAGCTCCAGTTGGGGAGTGAGCACCAGCGCTGATACAATGGGGAGAGAGCACTGCAGAGTTGGAAGACTCCGGCCCTTAGATAAGGCATTCAATCAAAGTCTCATCTGGGCCAGTTCAGGTGGATGTTAGTCCTCTGACACTGATAGAAAAGAGTTCCTTGGCCACAAATGTTGATTTCACTCGTTTATGGGACTTTGCTGGTACAAATAAGTTATGTGTTTGCCCCATTGTATACTATATAAAAGTTTATTTTCACATCATCCCTTTATTTTAGATTCTATCTGCCTTGTGATTCAGTTGGATATAAAGGGCTACTGCTCTATTACTATTCCAGAGGTTGTGTGGAGTCTTTCTCCTGGTTAACTTCATCAAACTTCCCCTCGTCCAAGTTTACCTTCATATTAATTGGTTGATCATCGCATTGTTTGTGGGATGTTGCTGGTGTGTATATATAACATTCACTTTATTTCTAAGAAGTTATAATAATCCTTGCATTTGATGTAGCGCCTTATCACGCAATCGAACGTCTCAAAATATTATAAAGTTGTAAAGTGCTCAGACATTTGTTTTTATGTGAAAGGTGCTATAAAAACATGTTGTTATAATAGGGCAGTCGCCAAGCACTTTTTCTGGGTTTCTGCCAATTGCTCACTCTCCACTGCAAAGATATTTCCTACACTTGGAGACGTTTTCCTACAGGAAATATGCGATATAAGTGCAAGTTGTTTCGTTATCACTTAATGGCTTAACTGGCTCCAAGGTGACATGTTTAACAATGGAACGTCAGAATCGAGCCCAATCTCCTTGGCGGTCTCCAGTCTGGTTCCTGAGCCAAGCAGGTCCGCAGTACTCCAGGGCACTGCTGATGAAAGCACAGCCCAGCGTGGCTCAACAGCAGGACATGGAAGAGTAAACCAGTCACTGGTGCCAGGGAATCATCCCTCTCAGCTCCTGTAAACCCTGGAAGCCAAAGCTTGCCAGGCAGCGATATCAATGGCAAGCTTTGCAGTTTTAGTTGGTAAAACTCCAGCAGTTACCCAACACACACTCAAGATCCTTGGCTCTCACCAACCTGTGACTTAATACTAATAAAGTTGGAGGAATGACCATCAGCACAGACATAGAACCATAGAATTATACAGCACAGAAGGAGGCCATTCGGCCCATCGTGTCTGTGCCGGCTCTTTGAAAAGAGTTACCCAATTCAATCCCACTCCCCCGCGCTCTCCCCATAGCCCAGCGAACTTGTCCTCCCTAAATAATTATCTATCTACTCTCTTAAAAGCCATCATCAAATTGGCTTCCACCACCCTTTCAGGCAATGAAACCCACGCATTCGTTACATCAAGGCTCGATTATAGAAATTCCCTCCTCATCGGCCTTACAAACTCTTCCCTTCACAAGCGGCAGATCATCCAAAACTCTGCAGCTCGTGTACTCTCTCGCGCACCAGGCTCCATGACCACATCACTCCCACCCTCGCCCGAATCCAATGGCTCCCCATCCATGGCCTTGCCCCCTCCTACCTTTCTCACCTGCAGACTCCCTACCAACCTGCCTGCTCCCTCCGTTTAGAGGGCTCCGGCCTGTTCCATGTCTCCTGCCCTACCATCGGTGGCCGAGCTCTCTGCCCGCACACTCTGGAACTCCATCCCACAGTCCCTTCGCCTCACTTCCTCCCTTGCCTCCTCTTCGATCATGTCTTCGGTCACCCTCCCACCTCTCTGCCTTCCCTCACCCCTACCCACCCCTCCCCCATGCTCGGGTCCTGACCCCTGTCTGTCCAGAGCCTTGGATGTCCTCCCGACCTGAAAGGCGCTCTATAAATGTAATTTTATTGTTGTATTCCAGATCCAAACAATTCGCTGTATTTAAAAAAAATTCTCCTTACCTCCCCTCTGTTTTAACAACTATTTTAAATTGATGGTTACCGACCCATCAGCCATGGTGGGGAAAGCGTGGGGAATGGGATTAGAGAGCTCCAGGGGGAGCGAGCACCCGCACACACGATGGGGAGAGAGTAAAGAATGGGATTAGAGTGGAGCGCTCCAGTGGGGGGAGCAAGCTACAGCACAGACAGTTTTGGCGAAATGGCCTCCCTAAACTGTAAAATCTGATCTCGGGGTTTGGGGCAGGTCTGTCCTGTGGCTGAGTGGTTTTGTGTCAGTCTCGGCAGAGTTACTGTGTCCATATGTTGCTCTGGGTGAGTGAGGCCGGCAGGTCACCTTTCATCCCAAGGAAGGATGTGGCATTTCCTCCCTGTTCGGTGCGGGTTTCCTGCAGCATTCTGTTTCATTTTAGTGAATATTAACAATGTTTTGTATGCAGGACTGCAATTCGTGAAAGGCTGCCTTTGTCACAATGGCCTCTGGAGAAGATACACTTTGTCAAACATTTGAGGTATCTGATCTTTGTGACCAATGTTAGCAATAATCACCTCCCTTTCCTGCACGGCTGTGATAAGAGGAGCGAGAGAGCACTGAACGAAACATTCCAGCACCGGGCAGTGTGAGTGAGTGGCTCCCAGTAACAGCGGCAACAACAGAGTTTCATTTACATTGTGGAGTCCATAGCGTAGTAGTTAACGCGTTCACCTCGCAAGTGAGAAGACCCGGGTTCGATTCCCGAGCAGGGCGAAACCTTAGGCAAGTTTCCTTACTCCACACGCCTCTCTTTACCTAGCAGTAAATAGGAATCCGTTTGTTAGTCGATTGGTGGATACTTTCCGGGGAAAATAATCTTGTTTAAAAAAAATTGTCACTCAATCCACAACTGTTTGTGGGATACTGCTGTGCGGAATTGGCTGCCACATTTCATCCACAAAATACACAGTCAATCCACTTTAAAATATATTCTGTGAAGTGCTTTGAAACGTCTCAATGATGTGATGAGGCGCTCTATCAAATTCTACGATTATTAATATTATTCAGTCACTCACATCTTGCACTGGTAAAGTACCTTTCCATCGGATAAAATGTTAAACAGGCTGTTTCCGGGATATTGCTGTGCGCAAATTGACTGCCACGTCACCCTACAAAACACAGTCATTATACTTTACAGTAAATCCTGTGAAGCGCTTTGTTTGTCCTCCTGAAATAAAAGGTGGATTATATGTAAGGATTGTTATTATATAGAAGTGTTTCACAGAGGCAATAAGGAACCTCAAAGTGTAATAAAACATAAGAATATTTGAATTTGATACAGAGGCTATAACATCAAAACATCTCAAAGTACTTAACATATAATTGTTGTCAAGTGACTGTATTGAAAGAAACTGAAGGGCACTGGGAGAGTGGGATTAGGCTGTGTGGGAGCCTGGGATTAGGCTATGTGGCTGGTAGAGCTCCGGTGAGGACTGGAGTGACCGAATGGCCAGTTTCTGGGAAGTAAAGTGCCAGAAGTGCACGATAGTGAAGACAGTGCAGAACCACACTGAGAATTGCTAATCAGCTGAGCTGCCAGGGACGGGTCAGTGCCCTTGACCTGACAGATAGAGTGTTACTAAACTAGAGCTCAGCCCACACTGAGGTTCATACAGAGATCCCGCTGAGCAATCAATTCATTCTCACTTTTTAGTAAATTATTGTTTTATTAAATA